GGTTGGGTCATGTCCCCGGTGATAATTCGCCAGAGCTTCTTTCCTTTGAGGAAGGAAGACATGGCTTGGGCCCATAGAACATAGTTGGAACCATCCAAAATAACGGAAATGGGATGGGAGGCATCAGGACGATCCATAATAGTAGTGGAGTAGGGCTAAATAGATAGGGAGAGACCTGTGGGAGCAAAATTAGGTAGAACAGAGTGTACCAGTGAGTCCGGAAGGTCGAAAATAGTTAGGAAAGATGGGCTGTGTAGGGATGATGTCAGCAGGATGAAAAATGATGTCAGCGGCGCACGTTAGCAGGGAGGACGGGCGGCGCACGGTAGCAGAGGGGGCTGGCAGCGTATGTTAGCAGAATGGTGCACGCGGGTGCACAATAGCGGAACGGCGCACACGCGGCTCACGGTAGACGAACGGCGTACGCGGGTGCACGGTAGCAGGTGCGGCGCACGACAGGGCCGGGTGGAAGGCGCGTGGCAGCGCGTGTGAGAGTGGCAACGGAGGCAGAGACCAGAGGCATTTTATGTCACAGCAATTGGATGAGTTTGCCAAACATAAAACCAGCAAGAGAGAGGAGAGCAGTGATTCTGAATCAAAGTCAAACCCAAAACCAGAGCCGTACAATTGGCTGACGAATTTCCACAGGGATTTGATTGCAGGAGCGTTGATGGGAGGCGTGGTGCACACGATTACGGCCCCAATCGAGAGAACGAAGGTTATATTGCAGACCCAAGAGAGCAACATCAACATAGTCGCAGAGCCTCATCGGAAGTTCAAGGGCATGTTCGATTGCATAGTCCGTACGGTCAGAGAAGAAGGCGTTCTCTCTCTCTGGAGAGGCAATGTTAGCAGTGTCCTTCGCTATTACCCCTCTGTTGCCCTCAATTTCTCTCTCAAGGTATGCTTGCATTTCAATTCCTTTGTGGGTTTGGTTCAAGAATTATGGAATTGTTTTGGGTTTTAAGTTTGAATTTAATGGATGTTCATGTGTTGTGTTTGTGGGTTTCGTTCAAGAATGGTGGAAATGTGTGATTATGGAATTGTTTTTCAGTTTTAAGTTTTAATTTAATGGTTATTCATGTGTTGTGTTTGTGGGTTTGGTTCAAGAATGGTGGAAATATTTGAATTATGGAATTGCTTTGAATTTTAATTTTGAGTTTCTTGTCTATGTATATGTTGTTTGTGTTGATGGTTTTGCTTCAAAGAAATGGTGTAAATGCTCCTTGTTTGTGTCTGTACTTAGTTTGATTGGAATTCATGGTGAAAGTGAGTACGAGACTATTATTTTGACTTTAAGATTGAATTTCATGGTGGCTATGTGAAACCCAAGAATGGTGGAAGGAAATGTTTGATTGCGGAATTGTTTCCAGTTTTAAGTTTGAATTTAATGGTTATGCATATGTTGTGTTTGTGGTTGTGCTTCAAAGAAATGGTGGAAATGCTCTTGGTTGTGTCTGTAATTGGTTTGATTGGAATTCGAGGTGAAAATGAGTATATAGACTGTTGTTTTGACGTCAAGATTGAATTTGATGGAGGTTATGTGAAACCCAATATAGGAATTGACGTCTTTCATAATTGATCAATTTGGTGGACTTTAGTGATTGATGGATGTGAGGCCGAAACTTAATCTATTTACAGTAAAATCAATTTGGTGGACTTTAGTGATTGATGGATGTGAGGCCGAAACTTAATCTATTTACAGTAAATTAGGAATGGCAACGGGGCGGGGCGGGGCCGGGGACTACCCCGTCCCCGATCCCCGAAAGTAATACTCCTCCCGTCCCCGTCTCCGATCCCCGACGGGGACCCCTATCCCGGCCCCATCCCCGCCCCCGGATAATCCCCAATTTTTTTTTATTTTATTTTTTTTAATGTAAAACTCTATAAACATTAATAAACATTCTCAATCACCCTTCAATACTGGATGTATAAATTTTGAAATTTATCAATATCAACCCTAATAGCTTCATTTTTTTAATTAATTAAAACTGTAGCAACATCCATAAATCTGTAGCAACACCTATCAGTTGGAATATCATTTTTTTTAATTAATTAGATCAATAAATATCAATAAACATCTATTTAAAAAACATCATCTGTAGCAACATCCATAAACAAAGCTATCATCAATAAATCTGTAGCAACATCAATAAATCTGTAACAACATCTATCCTAATCAATAAATATCAATAAACATCTTGTAGCAAAACATTAATAAACATTAATTCAGTAGCCCATACATACACAACCCACACACAAAGCATCCTGTAGCAACAAAATAACATAACCAAAACATGAACAAAATAACACAACCAAAACATGTGTCCAGCAGCACACAAGAAAATTAAACAAGTAGCAAATAAAATAATTAATCCCAAGCACAACCCGCAAGGGATAGGTTACCCAAAAATTGAAATTAAAAATAAAAATAAAAATATCCATTACAACCAAAAAAACAATTCCATTGTTGCTTCAAACCCATACAAACCACACAACTTCCATCATCTCCTTCAACTTGAACTCCTGTTAAATAACAAAAGGAAAATAAATAAATAATTAAAAATAAATTTATCCAACTGGTAAGCAGCCGAAGCAACAGGGGGAAATATTGTTTGATTCTTAACATATCAATAATAAATTATCATTTTTTAAAAAAATATAAAGTTCGGATTACTCCCATGTGGTTTGGTCCGGGAAGGCTAAAAACCTAAATTTCAGTTATTTTGGACCAATTTACATCACGCCTTTGTTAATTATGTTAAATGGAAAATGACCTTAATACTCTCCGTTTTCTTTTTGGTATTCTCCTTATCTTTCTTTGAAGGCCAACATGAAAGTGTGGTTGCCAAAATTTAAACCCGTTAACCACACCCCTTGCACTTACTAGAAGGTTGAGGTAGTTCAATCATTAAGCTACTTTGACGATCACCTAAAGCCCACAACAAATTTTAAATTTTTTTATTATTATCAAAGTTCCCAACTTTTAAAAGGCTTAATTAAATAAGACTTTATTTTGATATTTAGCCTAAAGTCTCAAAAAATCTTGAGCCGCCACTAAAGTCAGTAATTTGAATATTTCCACTTACTTGTGTGTCTTAATCCCCATATTATTTATTTATATTTCTCTTTGCCACACTTTTGAGTTTCTTTGTAGTATACATGTTGTATTTGAATAATAATTGATTAGGTCTCATGATAATATCATATATTAATAATAAATAAATAAGAAAAGAAAAAAAGAAGAAGGACGAATGGATGGACCAAAATTGCTAGCCCAACCACAAAGCAAGCATGTGTGAAAGGCCTTGTTGGGCCCTTTGGTTTGCTAGTTTTCACTTCTAAGGAATTCTCGCTATGGAATTGTTTGTGAGAAATGATAATGTCACGCATCAAAATGTCAGTATCAAAAACTCCGAAAATTAAAACATAATTGGTTAGTAGAGGAATATCACGTGATTATGTTCTTAATCAATCATAAATCATTATATCCTCTCATATTTCTCAATCACTCAATACAAAATCATGAACCACACCCCCTCCACCAAGTACAATGTATATAAAGTATCACGTAACACTGCCCCTGGATCAACAAAGTGAATATAAAAAGAAATTTAGTAAATATATTTAACACTCGTTTGGAGATTAATTTTGTTTAGCAATTTTTTAATTTTTTACAAAAAAAAATTATAAAAAAAATGAGTAAATTATTTGACGGTTTATAATAATTTTTTTACTTTTTAACTAAAAACGTTACTCTGCAAACGCCTAAGAAGTTCTCGATAAAATACCACAAATACCCTTATGATTGATACTAACAATTTGGTGAATTAATAAACAAGAATGTTGTTTTATTCTTTGTTTGGATAACCAATGGAAGAGAATGGACCCCATGTATCACTGGAAGAGTTTATCAAGATTAGGCTATTGATAAAGAAGCCCAACTTCATGCATTTAACAATGGAATTCAAAAAAGAGTGAAAGCCCACTTTGTGTGTGTGTTTTTTTCATATATATATATATATATATATATATATTTTATTATTTTTTTTAATAAATATTTAGGATTTAAAATTTAAAGAAACAAAAAAATACATCGTGTAATGATGAGATTCAAATTCAAGTATCACGTTTGATAAAAAAGCTCTCGTTCTTTAAACCAACCTTAGGCCTTGTTTGGGAACAGGCTAATTTAGTAATTTTTTGGCTATTTAACTAAAATATGAGCTAAAAAAAAACTAGTATGTCTGGGATGACTTTTTGACTTTTTACGAAAAGATATGCAAAAAATAGAGAGAAAAGAGAATCTTTGACTTTTTGATATAAGTTGTTGACTTTTTTTGGCTAATTTAATAACTTTTTGACATTTTTACTAAAAAAGAGGGTTCCCAAACAAGGCCTTAGTCTTAATTTATGCATATTTTAATTCTCTAATTTTATGATGTTGTAAAACCACAAATACTTATTTTCACACTTCATGCACTTACAAAAAAAATCATGTACAAGACACAAGATTCTCTAAATCTAAATGAAAATTAATATACATGTCTATTTTATTTAACTTTTTACATAATTTTTTCAAAAGTTATAAAATAAGAAGTTGGAATTTGATTTACTAAAATATTATTCAACATTTTCTAATAATAATAACAAATTAAATCTGAATGCATTTTTAAACGTAATTAATTTTTAAACTTAGTTAGTATAATGTCAATAAACTAGTCAGCATAACACTTCAAAATTATCTAAGAAATCCAAGCTTGACTTGTACATTTAAAATTGACATGAAAATTGAACAAGTAGCTTGGACATACTTTTTTAAGTTTATTACTTTAATTTTTTCAATTTAATTAGAATAATTTCCCAGTTGATTCAACTTTACCCATTTACAAAACCTAACTTTCCCAAGAAAAAAAATTTGAAGAAAAAATCATAACAAACCGACCCAAAAACCAAAAAAAAAAAAACAAAAAAACCCGCGAAGTGTGAAATTCCGTTAAAAGAAGTTTCTTTTTTAGAGAGAGAAAAGTCAAGAAAACAGAACACACATAGCTTCTCTTCTTCATTTCGTTTCCCAAATCCAAGAAATCAAGAAAGCATCAATCTTTTCTTGAAAATTATCTATATATATACTCACACAATGCATAGGGAAGTATTCATATACACTCATTCATTCACTAGAGAGAGAGAGAGAGAGAGATTTTGTGTTGTGGGTATTTGAGAGAGAGAAAGAACAGAGAGAGTGCAGAGGGCAGAGTTACTACAGAGCATGGCGGTCGAGGAGGACGAAGGAGAGGAGAGCAGTGATTCTGAATCAAAGTCAAACCCAAAACCAGAGCCGTACAATTGGCTGACGAATTTCCACAGGGATTTGATTGCAGGAGCGTTCATGGGAGGCGTGGTGCACACGATTACGGCCCCAATCGAGAGAACGAAGGTTATATTGCAGACCCAAGAGAGCAACATCAACATAGTCGCAGAGCCTCATCGGAAGTTCAAGGGCATGTTCGATTGCATAGTCCGTACGGTCAGAGAAGAAGGCGTTCTCTCTCTCTGGAGAGGCAATGTTAGCAGTGTCCTTCGCTATTACCCCTCTGTTGCCCTCAATTTCTCTCTCAAGGTATGCTTGCATTTCAATTCCTTTGTGGGTTTGGTTCAAGAATTATGGAATTGTTTTGGGTTTTAAGTTTGAATTTAATGGATGTTCATGTGTTGTGTTTGTGGGTTTCGTTCAAGAATGGTGGAAATGTGTGATTATGGAATTGTTTTTCAGTTTTAAGTTTTAATTTAATGGTTATTCATGTGTTGTGTTTGTGGGTTTGGTTCAAGAATGGTGGAAATATTTGAATTATGGAATTGCTTTGAATTTTAATTTTGAGTTTCTTGTCTATGTATATGTTGTTTGTGTTGATGGTTTTGCTTCAAAGAAATGGTGTAAATGCTCCTTGTTTGTGTCTGTACTTAGTTTGATTGGAATTCATGGTGAAAGTGAGTACGAGACTATTATTTTGACTTCAAGATTGAATTTCATGGTGGCTATGTGAAACCCAAGAATGGTGGAAGGAAATGTTTGATTGCGGAATTGTTTCCAGTTTTAAGTTTGAATTTAATGGTTATGCATATGTTGTGTTTGTGGTTGTGCTTCAAAGAAATGGTGGAAATGCTCTTGGTTGTGTCTGTAATTGGTTTGATTGGAATTCGAGGTGAAAATGAGTATATAGACTGTTGTTTTGACGTCAAGATTGAATTTGATGGAGGTTATGTGAAACCCAATATAGGAATTGACGTCTTTCATAATTGATCAATTTGGTGGACTTTAGTGATTGATGGATGTGAGGCCGAAACTTAATCTATTTACAGTAAATAAATGAAATATAGGAGTTCAAGACAACACATCATGAGCACAACTGGCTGTGTGAATTTAGTTTTCAATCACAACTTAATAAAATTTGGGGGGAAATTTTGGGTTCTTGCTATATTTGACACTTCCACTGAATAGTCCTTGTATAACCTAGACGATGACTGATAAAGTTGTCATGAAAATATTAGGTTGCGTTTGATAGAGCTTTAAAATTCTAATTTAAGAATAGAGTTGTATTTTGAGTTTGTGAATTTTGGAATTATGATTTGAGTGTGGAAAATTTGTTCGGTTATGAGTTTTGAAAAGAATTTTGAAATGAGTTTGAATTGAGTGACGTGACATATGATATTTGATTCAAAAATTTTAACTCATAACCAAATACACAATCCAAAATTCTATTCAAAGCTCATAAAAATTTTTTAAAAAATTTCTAAAATATTTTTTATTTAAAATATAAAAATAATAGGTGCCAAAAAAAAACACGAACACTGTTTCAGTCAACTGGCCGAACATCTGGGAGGGCGTTCGGGAGGATGACCGGATAGATCCAAAATTCAAAAATCCTTTGTTTTTCAGAATGGAGAACACGAAAGAGAGAGAATAACGAAACAAGAAAGTGAAATATGTTTTGAAATGTGTGGTGGAATCACAATTCCAAAACTCCATCCAAACAATGCATGCAAATGGAGGGATGGAATTAAGTTTTCAAAGTTGCACCAAACACAGCATTAATTTTAGATCCTTTCATCAACTTTTTGGTGTTCAGAAATTATTTTCTTCATCGCTTTTTCCCCTACACCAGAATTTGTGTTTAATATGATTTGTTGGAGGAGATGTGTTAGACTGCTGAGAACACCACACAAGTGGCAGCTATTGCTACGTGCCATGAGGACAGTAATTAGGGCTACACTTTCAATCAAGATCCCCTTACTTTTAATCAAGATCCTTCTTATGTGTTATTTATATCTATTTGTCTGCCGAGAGTACTGGGAAGGCTATAAATGGGAAAGGAAGATTGGAAATGCAGCAAGAATTGATTGGTAAAGAAGAACCTGGAAATGAAATAATTGCTATCTGATTTTCATTTTTTCTTATTACAAGGGGTATTAGTTTAAGAGGATATTACCCATAATATTAAAGTTGGGTGGTTAAGTCTGAATATATTTGATTAATTCATTTCATTTGTTCTCTATATGGTAAAATTTTAAGAGCAGTGAGAATGCTTTGTGCATCAAAAAGTCATGCACCTAAACTTATGAATCAAATTTGCTTATGGGTAGACCAAAATGTAATTTGTTTACATGGAGGACAGCCTAAAACTAAACCCCTATCAGGTATGATGGGTTACATCATCGATGATATATAACTTCCTGCATACTTATACTATGAATTTTAGCGGGCCTCATTGAGTGTTCAACCACAAAAAAGAGTTATGTACACTTTATTCTATTACTTTCCATTTGTAACATGTTTGTGTTCAACTACTATACATGCATATAGTTTATATCAACCCCGCCAGATAAAAGCAATATACTTTTAAAACAATAGTGTACACAATAACGAAACACATTATTAGAGTACTAGTAATCTAGATTGATTATGACAGAGCTAAGTTGTGTTTCTTAGTGTCAAAAGCAGAACAATGTACTGGCATCACATTAAGCAATACCATGTATGAAATCCGTTCATTAGTCTTATTGGAGACTTCAGTAATAGGAGTCGTTGTCATTGTTCTAGGTTGCTGAATTAGACATAGTAGTGCCATGATGTCTGAATATCTCCCCTTTCAATTTTTGGAATAACATTTATATGGTAACACTTTCCAAAAGAGAAGTGGTTGTTCTAGCAGAAACGGCAATAGTGACTATAATAAATGATGCAATTAATTTATTCTTGGTGGTATGAAACTAGTTCCAATTAAGTGTTGATATCCCAATATTGACATGCTTATACCACTAACCAGTATCCGAACCTCTTGCTTCCTTTCTAAACATAGTCACTTCAAATTTCAATCAGTTGCAAAGACCCGTCAATGGAACTTGGCTAATAAACCAATTAATGAAAGGGACATAGAACTTATGTATACAAGGTATAAATTTCCCAGAGCCAATTTGTAGACACAAATTTTAAAACATGAATGTTTAAACACATTTCAAAATTTATGTTACAAATATCTACTGTTTAGTTTTTTGGACTAAACAGTGTTGATTATTTGAATAGCAGGTTCTTATTTCCGATCTGTATTTCAGATCGTTAATTACACATTTTATACAAATGAAACCTCCGATTAATGAAGAACAAAATAAACAACAAATGACAAATTAAAAAAAAAGAAATACTTTATTGAGATTATTATGGGTTTTGAACCCTCGAATACAAAATACAGTTTGGGTTTGGAACCCTTTACCTATTCATCGCCATTAGCGTAGGCTCTTCAGCTCTCTAGGCTTCTCTTCTTCTTTTTTTTGTAACGACTTCTTTAGCTCTCAATTTCTTTCTCTCTCTCTCTCTGATCTTTTCTCTTTTTGATTTTTCGATCCCTCGTCTTGTGTGATGGTCCTCATATTTATGGAGGGCCATCAGGTGATAGGAACGCTTCAGGGATTCACTTGTTCTCTTTTCTCATAGGACTGGATATTCCCAGTTGACTTTTGGCCAGAAGGATTTGGAAGGCAGAAGTGACAGCTCTTACTTTTCCTTCTTACCCATATGGATATGGTGGACTGCTATGTTAGCACTAACTACCAGCCAAACTATCACAGAAGCCTATACCAGCACAAAATCTTTGCTGGACCCATGGTTGGAAATCTACCTGGAAAACATATTTTCATGTCTGCCAAACAACCCAAGTGCGCAAGACAAAGAAAGAGCAGTTCTATTTGAGCCAACAATTATATATAAAACATATATATATATATTCGTAAACCTACAGGTTTCAGCTCCACCAAAACCAGTATGGTCATGTTGGTCTCAGGTTCTTTAGACCATTTTAAAATATATATATATAATAGAGTTTGCCAAATAGCATAGCAACAAACAGATTGATGCTATAAAATAAAAAAAAGAAGAAGAACATCTTGTGGAAGTTAAAGCACAAGGAAAAGAAGTTGTTTGGTCTTAAAAGAAAGAGAATTTTTCTTTTTGCTTAGCCATCATATATATATAAAAAGAGCCTTTGTTTGGTCTCATGATTTTAAAAGCTGGCAGCAAGAAAAATATAGTATACACACACATATATATATGCTGCTAAACAACACAGCAACAAATAGGTTTTTTCTGCTGTACAAAAAAATTGTTCATTCTAGAAGCAACGTATAAGAAAGATAAACAAGAAGAGAAACGTACCTGATTAAAAGGAATTTGAAGGAATTCTTTTGTGTCTTCTTTAAAGTACAGCTTTTGTTGGAAAGAAAAAAATAATGGCTGGAAAGTTGCTGGAAATTTTTTGCAAAACTAAAAAAAAAAATCTGCTGGAAAAAATCTACAGGGAAAAAAGGGCTGCAGGGAAAAAAATATATGAATAGGTGTAATATAAAGGAAAAGTCTTGCTTAAGGAAAGAGGTAGTGGTCTCCTAAAATACTTCAAAGAAGCAAGAGTTTAGATGGTCTAGAAAAATCCATGATGGCCTAGAAAAAAATCTGCTGTAAAAAAATGGTGGCAAATTGAAGGCCCACAAAAGAAAAAGCCCAATTAAAAATGGTGGCCTAGAAAAGAAAAGGTCCATGATGGTTTAGAAAAATCCATGATGGCCTAGAAAACAATTTACTGCAAAAAAAAAATATATATATATATAGTGGCAAGTTGGAGGCCCACAAAAGAAAAAGGCCCATTAAAAAATGGTGGCCTAAAAAAGAAAAGTCCAGGATGGTCTAGAAAAATCCATGATGGCCTAGAAAAAAATCTGCTGTAAAAAAATGGTGGCAAATTGAAGGCCCACAAAAGAAAAAGCCCAAAAAAAAATGGTGGCCTAGAAAAGAAAAGGTCCATGATGGTTTAGAAAAATCCATGATGGCCTAGAAAACAATTTACTGCAAAAAAAATAGTGGCAAGTTGGAGGCCCACAAAAGAAAAGGCCCAATTAAAATGGTGGCCTAGAAAAGGAAAGGTCCATTATAGCCTAATAAAAAAAAAAAAAAAAAAGAAATGGTGGCAAGTTGGAGGTCCACAAAAGGAAGCGTCCAATTAAACTTGGACCTTACTCATGACCCTTAAAAAAATTTAAAAAAATAAAAAATAAGTAAATCAAGTCCACAAAAATGACCCATGTAACAGAAGTAAATGGTCCATGGACTATAAAGGGCAATTAACCCTTTATTTAAAAAAAAAAAATAAAAAAAAAAGATCAAATCCATAAAAAGGACTCATGCAACAAAAGTAAAAGGGCTCATGTAAAAGCCGTCAACCCAAAAAAAAAAAAAAGGCTAGAGACCAAAGCAAAGAAATAATCCCATCCAAGACTTAAAGATCATCCAGAAAAAAGTGCCAAATTGTCGTGACTCGCACAGTTAAGAAAATTCACTTGTGCAAGTCACGAGGGGCATTTGTTGGCACATAAATTTTAAACCAAA